ACCCATTATTTAGGTAACTGGAGCCCAAGTCTAGGGTCGGTTAAACTTATCTACAACATAGTACCGGTAGGGAGAGCAGGGAAAAGCTTAAACAACCCAAAGCCCATGTTCTGAAGGGAAGGCCAGAATCCCCTAAACCCTAAACCTTAAACCCTAAACCCTAAACCCTAAACCCTAAACCCTAAACCCTGAACCCTGAACCCTAAACCCTAAACCCATGTCCTGGGCCAGGCATCGTGGCCTTCGGCCGCCGCTTGCGAGCAAGACGGGCCAAAGTCTTGCGCGAAGCCGAGGCCTCCAAGGCTGGAGACCCGAAACCTGTAAAACCCTACCTGTAACCGAAAAGACCTAGCCTTTTTTTAAGGAACTATATATAGAAACCATAATAAGGAAGCCTAAAAAGGTAGGTCTTTCCGGCTACAGGGAAACCCTAAACCCGACGCATGGCAGTGCGAAAGGCCCACCACACTCAAAAAAGAAGAAACCCTACCCTAAGGGTCCAGGTATCTCCTTCGGCGGGTCCGGAATCTCCTAGGGAGGGTGTTTGGGTCTCTTTGCGGTCTCAGAACCCCAACATCTTGAGGTTCCCACAAGTCTTAGGACCCTTAGGGTAAACCCTAAAACGTCCAGTCCTAATAGACCTCGAGCCCAGGACGACCTCGGGATCCCCTGGGTTATAGAGCTTGTTCGGTTGGGGTTTAGGGTTTAGGTTTAGGGTTCAGAAGGGCTTCGTAGCTATCGATGTTGGGCAGTTTTGTGTTTCGAGCTTTGGGAGCCTTTCAATCTGTCAGATCCAATCTCTCCAGAATGGTTCAGATGTAGCCTGTACCGAAAGACACTGAACCCTCTACATCTCGACCCCATGAAACAAATCAGCCCTCAAGCCTCCAACCCCGTAGTGTAAGTAAATTACCCATAGGCTCCTAAGTAGTTCCTTTTTGGGGATACCTTATAGGATTCTAAATATATACCACAAAAAGGAACAACTTAGGAGCCTTTGGGTAGGGGCGTCCGAAGGTGAAGGTGTCTCAACGACCAGGCAGCGAGGATGCTACCATTTGGGGCTTATGTTTGGGTTCGCATTGTCTAAACCTCCGCTAAACCTTAAACCCTAAACCCTTAAACCAGGATTTTCGGGTGGTTTAGGGTTTAGGGTTTCGGCCCGACCCTAAACCCTAAACCAATCTGTGCTTTGCAAGGAAGAGCCGCCCCGCTGGGACCTGACTGCCCCGGTGTGGACGGCCGAGGCGCAACCTTAAACCCGAACCCCCAAAAAAATCCTGCATGCAAGCCGCTTTAGGGCTGTTGGGCTTGAGGTTCGCCTGTGGCCCAAGAAACGTACAGCTTTACGGTTGCCGACAGACCTGGGGTAAGATTTAGATAGGCATTTTTCCCAGTTGGAGTAAACCTCCAATGTTGCTTCTGGCTTCGAGCCTCTGGATGCTAGTTAGTTGTTTTTTTTGCCAGCTGTCATCATAAGGAAACCGGAAAGCATCTCGTGCTTTTTTTACTTGCAGCCATTGTGGTAGCCGATGCCCTAAACCCTAAACTTCCTAAACCGTTTAGGGTGTAGGGTTTAGGGTTCCGTAAACAGGACAGCAGGCCTTGAGCTGGCAGTTTGGAAATTCGGGCCTGTGCAGTCGCGAGGGGCTACCAACAAAAACGCGAAGAACCTAAAGGCCTTTTAGGGTTTAGGGTTTACTTAGCTATGTAGGAGGGGAAAAAAAGCCCGAATCCCAAAGCGCTGCTTGAAGGGACCGGGCAATGAATCGCAGAGCTGTCATCGGGAAAGCGAAACGACGAGCTCCAGCCCAAAACTTATCCTTAAACTTAAACCCTGAAGCTCAGGCTTTGAATTCGTTCCTAACCATCTAAACACCAATCCCGAACCGTGAACAGTAAACCCTAAGCCCTAAGCCCCACAAGCCTGGGGCCCGAAGCCATACTACACCACCAGTCCCTCACCCCAAGACGAATTGAGAGATGAGATCCGGAACTTCGAAGCTCAAAACCCCTGCAGATGCACAATGTAGGAACCTGATTAAGAAACCCCTGGCCCTACAACGCCAACATCTTCGGGCTTACATTGAGAACCCCTAATAAAGGCCCAGGGTTTCTTAATCAGGGTCCCATATTACCCTGAACTCCAGAACCAGGTTTATGAAGGTTCCGGCTTGAGTTCAGCAGGCAAATTCTCAGCTCTGAAGATCCTAAACCTCTACCTGAATCCCCAGAAGTAGCTTCGAGTTTACGGTTCTATACACAAACGCCATGATTCCACATACTTTCGGGGGGGTTCAGGTAGACCCCGGAGCTTCAAGCGGAGACCTCAAGACTAGGGGCCTTGAAAGTAGGTGCATTCCCGAAGTCAATTCCCCAGCTTTTTTTTTTAAACCTGGCCCTAAACACGATAATCACTACAAGCCATACTGTAGTATAGCATACTATGCCATACTGTTTCCTGTTTGGTTGTAGCAGCAAACATAGTATAAACCCTACCAGACAAACCCTAAACCCTAAACCCTCAACCCTAAACTCATCCTAAGTGGGAGGCAAAAAAACTCATCCAAACCCTGAACCCTATAAACCCTAAACCCTAAACCCGAAAACCCTAGACCCTAGACATGGAAGCCCAGAAGGACTTGGAGGACACCGCGACCGGTCCGGCAGAAGGCAGCGCACACACGCACACGCCCCTCGGCTCGGATGGAACCTTTGATGGGTTTAGGGTTTATGGTGTTTATAGGGTTTACCGTTTAGGGTTTAGGGTTTATAGGGTTTAGGGTTTGGATGAGTTTAGGGTTGAGGGTTTAGGGTTTGGATGGGTTTAGGGTTTAGGTTTAGGGTTTGGATGGGTTTAGGGTTTAGGGTTAAGCTGATTGGTAGAGTCTGGGTTCAAAAAAGGGTTAAGGGTTTGGGCAGAATCCGGATTTTCCGTAGTTGCTTTAGCAGGGATATTTTACCGGGCTTCCTGGATTCAGGGCCTAATTAGGGGCATTGTTCAAAGGAGCAAAAACACTACCGTTGGTTTACACGGTCGAGGATCCCGAAGTCCGATGCATGACTTCCTCCATCTGGTTTCGATTGGGGTTTGGGGCTTCGGGGCTTGGGCAACTGCGGGGCATGGTGCGGTCATGGTTTCGGATTTCACGGGTTTAGGGTGTTTAGGGGCTTGTTTTGAGGATTTCAAACTCTGTGAAACTTATAGTGTTTAGGTTTCCGGAGTTTTCTCCGTGCCTTGCGTCTTTTGGGGTCTGCCTGTGACGGTTGCCGAGGCTGGTGTACTTGCACGCTTTCGGGCGCTGCTGCTGCCTCAGCGATGAAGCCTTACCTCGGCTTGCTTGTTTTCGTCCTCCAGAAGCAGTCTTTTCGAAGCAGATTTTCGACCGTCGAGACTGAAAGCTGCGACCCGGGTTGGAAAATCAGTGAGTCTCTGCCAAGCCGTCGCGGCTACTTCGAATGGAGGTCGGCCTAGAGCTTGAAGCGTGGACTACAGAGAGGTTACTTCTGCTTCTTGACTTAGGGACAAGGTCTCGTTCAGATCTCACCCTTTCGTAGTTCTTTTTCCGATGCATTTAGGCAGACTAAAACTAACCCCTGACAAACCCGGCATGCCCGGAACTCATGCCTTACGAAATGGCCGACGACATGTTTGAATTTCTACTGGCAGAAGCGGTTCCTCGAGCTGAGAGTCGATATAGCGGCAGCTTTGAAGATCGCATTCTGATCGGCGATCTCCCAGGCCTTGGTGGTTGTGTAGGGTTTATGGTTCAGGGTGATGGGAGTTGTGATGGGTTTAGGATTGAGGCTCTCAGAACCCTAAACCGTTTAATCTAAACCTCTTGCGACTTGCTGAGTTTCCACTGGCCAATGTACATATAGCGCATTTCCCCCAAAACCCGTCTCAGGTGGAAAGGAGTATGTGCAGCCTTTGCTAGACCAGCTCTCTCCAGGCTCAACTTGCAACAGGTGTTCCAGGAGTCTTCGAATTTGTGGAGCAGTCGTCTGAGGTGCAAACTCAGGGGCCAGGAGTCGTTTTTGCACAATACATGGACCACTTTTTGCTTGCAGGTTCTGGGAGTCTAAGGTATGCTCAAGAATAGTTCAGGATCTCGCAGGTTCTGTAATCCCACATGAAATCCCGATCTTGCTCAAAGCGCAGAGCCCCGATGCAGAGGAAGCAGGCCCAATCGCATTGCGCACGTGCCAGTTTTCTGCAAGTTTCGGGACTTTGCTTGTTGATTTGGTTGCTTACCCCACTTGAGGAGGATACTTGCGTCTGTGAATGGCCAGATCGATCGTGAAGCCTACACTCTCTTTCCTGCATCTGTTGCTTTTTCTGTGGCTTTCAGTACCTTTTGCAGGATTCTGGCATCTTGGCCGTCATGAGAGTGCTTTCAGTACCAAAATGTCGAGAACGGAACTTCAAAAGAAGCGTGCAGAAGAAGGTCTGCAAATACCTTTGAGATTTGGCCTTGATGATGCAAAGAGCCTTTCTGCTGCGGAGAAGGCGACTTGTGAACGAATTCGTGCTGCGGTTGAGCGTAAGGATTGGTACGCAGCCAAGCAGGCATTCGATGCATCCGACAAGAGCTCGGCTCCAATGTACAATTTGCTATTGGCAGCTGCGTTGAAGCTTGGCAACTTCGAGTCGGGCGTGAAAATCTACCGAGACCTTGAAGCTCGACATGTAGATAAGACTGTGAAGAGCTACTGCTGTGCGATTCGTTTGTTCTCTCAGCTTGAGCGAAAGGATGAGACGCTGCAGGTGTGGGACGAAGCGTGTGCCACGCAGGTTTGGAATAATTCTGAGAGTGCGATCTCGCTTATGTGCGCAGCCTTGAATGCAGCGGCCCAATTTGGTGACTTTGCCTTGGCCAAGGACTTGCTGGACATGATGCGCGAGAAGGGCAAAATTCTGAACGTAGTAGACTACAATCAGGCTCTTGATGCTTGCAAAAACTCGCTCCAGCCCGAAGCAGCAATGGGTTTGTACTCGGACATGGTCAGTGCAGGCATTACACCAAATGTCATCACCTTTGCTTTGCTTGTCAGTGCGCACAGTGGGAAGGCCCTTGAATCAATTTCTGATGTCACCAGTCAGATGGTCCCCTACGATATAGAGCCGAATGTACCCTTCTTGGAAGAACTCGTGTCGGCCATGATTGGTGCGCGGCGTCCGGGCGTCAAGATCATTGACGTGCAACAGGCGGAGAAGGTGGCTTCAGAAGCGCCCGCAACTCACCTGCGCGCAGCTCAGCGTGTGATCGCCCATGTGGAAAGCGAAGGTATGGAGCTCAGCGATCTTCTGAGGAAGCTCAAACAAGCGATTCTTCGGGGACTTGGGTCGGGATGAGCACATGAACTTGACACTTTTACAAAGTCGCTACCGTGCTCATGGCAGAGCTCAAAGGCCGGAGTGCTCGGGATGCTGCAAAAGACGTTTGCCTGACACGAGGTGATGACCATGCACATAAAGAAGTGTTGTAGCAGCGTACCTCCTGCACATCAATAAGTTCGCACACAATGCAACTTCCATTAACTCTTCGCCGACTCTTCGCGAGGACCGTGTTTCTTCGAAGTATACATCCTGAAACGAAGGTTCTGGGGAATCTACAAGAAGGTAGGTTACGGTAGTTTATGTTTTTGTTTTAAGGTGAGCCTCACAAGGGACCCGGACGACGCAGACGACTACCGGGTTCTTTACACCATAGTTTTGCCAAACTGTTCGGGGTAGACTTTCGGTGGGCACTTGCATAAGACCAAGCTTTTGCACAAGTTGACGATGCAATGTAGTGCTTGCCGTTGAACCTCTTATCGGACCTGCATGTCTTCGGCTTAATTGAGTCCTTGGGGAAAGCAATTTCACGTTGGTTCTGGATCCGCCAATTCTCCGCGGGAAGGCATTCTAGAAGTGTGGTCTCCTTCTGTCGTAGCAGTCATGGTCGTCGTGGTGGTTTTTCACTGCTTGGGGATAGAGCACAGGATTCAACTGGGCTTTGATTGGGTATTCTACGATATTCCACGGCTCGTACAGGACAGAATTTAGTCAGAGACGTGGCGTATAGGGGTTCAACAGAGACTCGAAAGTTTGTAAGTGTCGATAAGGTTCTTCCACAGGGTTTGCGATGACTCCAGACCCGACTTAAAGTCAACAGAACCAGTACGCTACAATTTTAGTGCAATACCCCAATTCGCAACTTCGCATCCCTGAACCAACACCCTTAATGTCAAATGCGGGCCCTAAACAAGCCTCTCCAGCCATGTTCCTTCTCGGAGTACCCGAGTTCGGTATGTTATTGTAAAGTAGCCTCGCAGGTTCTGTACTGTTAGTTGTCCCATCAATGACTCATCTCCACTGATAGGGGCCCCAAATATGAAGTGAAATCTTGCAAGCGTGATCCTGTTCAGGCTTCTCCACTCCTTGGACTTCGGGTGCCCCGCGTGCCCGGGGCCTCCGCGTGGTGCTGCCCACGGCACCCAAGGTGGCGCAGCCTTGGGGGTAACGGCCTCAGCGTTGTCGGTCTCTAGGCGCCATGCTGTTAGTGTTTGGGGCCTGAATTTAGCCTGTGGTGCCTATAGCGCTTGTTCCCTGGATTGGCCAGCTGTGTGCGGGTCACGGATGCACGGGCCAACGCTTGCTGAGGCCCGTGGAGACCTCCTGGCACGAGCCCGGGCCTATAGATCTTTCAGTCCACTTCAGATGTCTTCGAGCATGTATTTCGGTGATTTTTTGTTCTACTGTCCACCAGTTTCGAATTAGCCTCAATCTCCCCGGCTCTTGCGAAGTGCCCGGAGGTGATAGACTGGCATTCCAAACATGGGAGTACCCCGAGTACCCCACGACGAGAGGCATCACGACTTAACAACTTACTACAGGGCCTTCCTTCACCGTACGAGGTGCTATGTTGTGAGGCAGACCTTCAGGATTTTTCCTACGGCCATGGCATGCAGCCTACACCCTAAACCCTAAACCCTCAGAAGAGGCTCGTCCTTGCTATGTAGGAGGGAAAAAACTTCAAGAGCCATCTAAAGACGAGGTATGCGTCAGCGGACAGCAACCAAGTTGGCCGTGAGCTCGGCCTCTCTCACCCAAAGGGTCCATGTGCCCAAGTAGGTATCCTTTAAGGGTTCTTTTTGAGGGTTCTATTATAGGGTACCACATGGGTTCAGCGTTCTGGGTTTAACGGTCTATGTACCCTAACAGTATATACTTTGGCCTTAAAGTAGACCCAAAACAGATACTGTGGGGCCAAAAAGTATATACTACTTGGGTACATTGACCCTTGGAGTCATCTAAACCAGCCGATTCTACCCGCGAAGCCTAATGTCCGTTAACAAGGGCGTTTAAACAACAAACCCCCGAATAATACAGTTGTTAGGGCTAGGGGCTGAGTGAAGGTCTGCCAAGAAACTACGTAATGTGGCACGCCCCAAAACCACAAACCCCTATCTATCCCTACACACAGACCAACTCGCTCTCCAAAGGATTATCTTTCAAAATGTTTCACATCATGGTTGGGACGAGCCCAACCCTCTTCCACTAAGCCCTACAACCTTCCCCCCTATATAGGCCTTAGATCTTAACTCCGTATCTACAGACCCAAGCCCTAAACCCTCAACCCCAAAACCCTAAACCCTCAACCCTAAAACCCTAAAGCCCTAAACCCTAAACCCTAGAACCCTAGACCCTAAATCCTAAACCCGCATTCCCTGTGAGACTTTTAGGTGATGGGTCGCTGCTGGCGGAGCAGCGCCAGAGACTCCGACGGCTCCTGGAGCAGGAGGCAATGGGTTTAGGGGGGTTTAAGGATTAGGGTTTTGGGTTTAGGGTTTAGGGGTTTAGGGTTTAGGGTCGTGTTGTATTTTCGTTTTGACGAAACAGATGCTCGTAGCTGCATACCCCAGTATGTACAGTCTTTCCAGCTGGGAAGTCCCTGCCCTCGAGCGTCTTGCCGGCATACAATCCAAGCCCGTGCTCAAAAAAGGGCTTAGGGGTTTAAGGATTGGGTTTAGGGGTTCAGGGTTTAGGGCTGATTGGGAGCAGGGGGTGGTCGTTCTCCTTATTGAGGCTTTGCGTTTTGCTTGCCTTCAAGGGGTTTGAGGGCAAGCATAGCTTGTGAGTTCCGCCCTTTGTTGGTTCAGAAACCAGTGTTTAAGGTTTTAACGGATGCTTGAACAATGCACTTGTTAGAGGATGGTTTGGATGTTAGTGGGGCTTGGTTCCTCTTCAGAAAACACGGTTTTTGTGGCGTTATTAGGGTTTGAAGTCTAGGGTTTAGACATGTGCAGCGCCGGATTGAGAATGTAGGTATCTATGGTTCAGAAGTTCAGAATTCAGGGAAGGTCCGGTCGAGACTGTTCCTGTGAAATGCGGCTGGAAGGATATTAAGATAGAGCGTCCTAGGGTCCTAGAGCTCTCTGGCCACCAGACAACTGGTGATTCGAGTATCTGTCTTGAAGCTCCTCATGAGGATTTCCTGGGCTTATGACTCTGATAGATCTTAAGTTTAGGGTTTGGTTTGGTGTACTGTACAGAAGGCAAAAACAGAAGACCGACTTGTCATGTCGAGGAGTTTATCCGAAGGGTGTGTGTTGTCATTGTGTGTGGTTGTTCGCATGTTCTTGGGGTTTTTGTATGCGTTCTTTAGGTGTGTCAGGAAGGCAGGCTTTACTGCTGTCGTTTGGACTCAAGTTAGGATCCGTGGCTGGGCTTGTCGCCTTGGCAGAGGTTTCGGGGTCGGAGTTGTGGCGTGTCATGTGAGTTCGACGCACTCCACACCAAGGCTGGTACATGGAAACGAGACCCCAATGTCAGAAGTCAGAAATTCCCTAAACCCTATACCCTAAACCCTAAGCCCGAAAATCTTAGTCTAAGCCCTAGATTGTGAAGAGATCAGCTCTGGAGATCTCTTCCAGGTAGACAGACTCAATGGCCGCAGCGAGCGGATCTTCCTGGGAGGTCTTTCGCAAGGCCTTTGTTTTCAGCTTGCGGTTTAGGGTGTACCGTTTAAGGCATGGGTTTAATGTCTTGGCATCGCGGCGTCCAGGTATGAAGAGGCCGGGTTGAAAAGCTTGAATGTGCCTTTCTGCGAACAACTTCGCACTGTTCCGTGTCAATACCTCCTGAGACTTGAGATTTCAATTTCGGGAGGATTCGTTGATGATGGAAATCCTGCATGACCTCAAGGACCCTAAACTATGGGAATTCAAAGCACACCCTTCCTCCTTGTTCCTAATTCTGGCTAAAGGGTTATTGCTGCTGGGGAGGTCTCGGCTGACATGGTTGATCGGGTTCAGAGTCAATCTCGCATGCTTCACGGAACTCAGTGTTTTGTCCCGGGAAGGCATGATGTTTCCATCGGCACTGTTTGATATTTCTGTGGAAGTAATGCCTACGTCGGGCCATGTTGGGACTGCCTGCGCTATTGAGGGGCACGGAAGTAGGGATGTAAGTAATGGCATTTAATGTATAACTACCAGATCATTGTTGCTGCTATCCTGCTCAGCTTGTTTAATAGGAATGATGGCAGATGTTATCATGATTTTGGCTACTATTGTCATTGTAAACGAAGACATGCACCACCTAGCTTTCCAGGTTGCACCGCAGCGTTGGACATCTATCTACAAGAGGTGGTGAGCACAGAAGTGCTCGAAGGATTTTGCGCTTTTTCATAGGGCTCCGGTTGCCCTAATAATCGGTTATTGGGCTACATAGTACACGGTTAGGGGTTCTCTATGTCGAAGAGCCTGTAGCACCTGCCACCTCGACGTGGCAGTCCGCCCACAGATCGCTTCCTATTCTGGGCTGCGATTGGAATGCAGATGCAGTCCAAGAGCATCTTAGACCTGTGTGCTTTCTCTTTCAGGACAGCGCCTTTCGCTGCAGAGGTCAGTAGACGCACATGCAGGCCTTAATAATAATAAGAGTAAGAATAAGAATAAGAATAATAATGATAATAATAATAATACTAATAATAATAAGGTTCTACAAGCCCTTGGAATGAAGGCTGTCATGCTCGGTGAACAGTGTAGACCGAGGTGCCATCGCCATTAGTCAAAAGGAAGCATACCCCGGGTGGGAGTTATTGATACCGTATCAGCCGCAAGCAGAGGCCTGCACCCTTCGTTTGGGTGGATTCGTCGGAAGCTGCTGGGACAGCATGCAGTACTTGGAGGTTCATGGGTAGTTATAATATACGTAGGGTAACTATAGTTATGACCTATNNCCCATGAACCTCCAAGTAGGCATTGAGGAAGCAGTTTGCCAAGTGGACGCACAACTGTTGTCCACGTGATTCGCCAGTACGTTTCTCACTTTCTAATCTCTGCTGAGAATGATGACTCGCACTGCCACCAAAAGCCGTACCCTTATGTTTATAAACCCTAGACCCTAAACCCNNCTAAACCCTAAACCCCAGCCCCTAAATGTATGCTTATTCTTGCTGTAATGGCTACTGATTCCTTCCTGGCCATCGAGGTGTAGGCTTTCTCCCGAGCGATGAGCTCGGCTTCCACGCGGCGAACGAGGCTCACGGGCAGGTCTTTGTGCATTTGGGGGTTTTTCAGGCTTCGGTATTCTGACAACAAAAGGCCATTGCTGAGTCGTTGCTGCTGTATGCCTGCGTGGTGGGGCTGTGGGAGAAGACTTCGGAGTTGCTAATGTATGAGTCTGATTAAGGAGCCGCTGGTTCTTCAACTCTACAGTACGACCCAGTTTAGGATTTTGGGTGTTTGGATTCCGGGTGTAACGACCAACGTTTAGGATTCAGGGGCTTTGTGCCGACGACATTGACAGTCAGTTCGAAAAGACAGTACAGCGTGGAAGAAGGCATGAAGGATGGAGCAGACAGTTGTCAACACAATCTGCGGAAGGACCGTGATCTGTAAAGTGGGTTGCAATACTGGTCCATACTGCAGTCATTTAGGGACTCTGATACATGGTCCACAAAGAGACCAAGCTACGCAGCATCTATTTCACGGTATACAGATCGCTTGATAATCCTGTACGAAAGCGTCCTAGAAGCGTCTCCACGCCTACTCCGCAAAGTAGGCACCATGTCACATCATTCCTACAAGTCCAGACATCGCTCCTCCTTTGGCACTCAATGCGTGCCTCTCCTTCAGAGCCTTTAAGTATGGGTTCGCAGTATCTCAAAATCTTCTGGAAGATGACAAAAGCCCCTAAACCCTAAGCCCTA